TAACCGGACAATTTGCAAAAATCAATAAGCAGATTCCGCTGGTGAACTCACGCCCGCTGGTGGTGGGCTTGGTCCTGAGGCCGGCGGTGCTGGTGGTGGTGCTGCCAATGCTGGCAGGGAACCTGAAAGACGATAGATGTAAAGGGTAACAACTAAAAATCTGGACAAAGTTCGAACTGCTATATTTTCAGGCTCAGAGGTTGCAAGCATATGATTTTTTAAGCACGTGACAATAATGTTATTGTTGTTTCAATAAAAGCTGTGTAATTTCATTCGCGTCCAAAATGTCGTCGCTAAAGCAGTTAACCGAAGAGCGGAGAAGAGTTGTCATTGGCGAATTTTATAGGAGCAACTGGCATAAAGGTAAAACATACACTGCCAGGCACTTCCTAGCCATGGGTGTTCCAAAAAGTACCTTATATGCGGTGATGCGGAAGTGCGATGAAGGGATCCCTTTGGCGAGAAAGACTGGAAGTGGCCGCCCAAGGGTGAAAATGCCCTCTGATAGGGTGCATGTTTTAAAAAAAGTACATGACAGAAAAAAATGGACGCTCCCAGTCACGCGCTGCGGAAAAATTTAAAATTTCGCAGCAATACGTGTCAAAAATACTCCGGGAGAAGACACCCTTGAAGTATTGCCTCCGACAAAAGGTCTCCGGTGTCACGGAGGAACAAAAGATGAAACAAAAGAAGAGGTGCCGGAAGCTTAGGGATGGGGCCCTGAAACCTGGTAAAAACACAGTTATTGTGATGGATGATGAAGGACGCCATTTAATTGCGTCCCAGAAAAGCTATTTCTGGCACCTAAAAGCTGACTCGCCCCAAAATTGGTCCTCAGCACCTATTTGGTGGATACCAGCACCAATCATGGAAAATGACCTTAATTAGCTGTTTCTGGCACCTATTCATCGGTACGCGTTACTCTTTTTTCTGAATCTGGCACCTAAATGCTGACTACTGGCTGGTAGAATCATGTTGTTCTGGTATAATGAACCCTGGAGTCTAGCCTAAAGGTTGCCAGTGCAGCTACACTCTAAGACAGCCCCGTAGTGATCTCAGCATTGTATATGACGTTTAACCCGCGCACCGACGGGGGTCTGCGCCAACTTAGTACCGACGGGGGGGGGGGGCGGATGACCGCCCCCCCCCCCCCTGAGATCTCGAGAACGAAGCAAGATAGCGACAAGCGGTAAATGGCATCGGATACGCACGGACAAGGTCTACAATTTTTACTAAGGTCATTTTCAGGTCAGGTCAAAGATGACGTCACAGGGGTCGAAAAAGTCAAAATGGCGGCGCTAGATATGGAGAGGGTTTTTCTCGAATAACTTTCGAAGTAGTCAAGATAGGAACAAACTAAGGGCATCATCGTGATCCTCTCGTCAATCCGCATCGAATGATATATATGTTGACCTCGAAAGGTCAAGGTCAAAGGTTGACCTCAGGTCACGTGACCTCGAGGTCATCATGTATATCATTCGATGCGTCTTGACGAGCTGAACACAATGAGACCATCCGCGCGGCTGTATCTTGTTCCTGTAAGGAGTTATTGGCAAAAAACCTTTGGTGACCTTTGATGACGTCACATGACCTTACAGCTGCCCAACAGCAAAACAGACCTCAAGGTAGTGAAGGTTGATCGTATGTGAAGTCATGTATGGTATATGGGGCCATTCCGACCCGTTTTAGTGGTAAAAACAGTGAGTTGATTTTTCCCCCATTGACTTATAATGGGGAGGTCGCGAAATTGACCTGACCTTAGGTCACCGACATCAAAATTCCGAGATATACAAATTGTAGCTACTAATGACCTAATAACATCCTGCGACTTTCAAAGGCCTCCGACATCTACTGTAGCTCTGGCACGGTGACAAAGTTGCAAAAAAGTGACTTGAGGTTGGGTCATTCAAAGTGACCTGGTGACCTGACCTTAAAAGTTAGGAGGTTCAAACTTGCACACCATATGTAAAATTGATGAGCGAATAGTCATGCCAAATTTCGCGGCGCTACGCGCCGCGGTTTTCCCGCTATCCGCGAAAAACCTCAGGGGGGGCGGATATCCGCCCCCCCCGTCGGTGCGCGGGTTAAGTAAGCAAATAATATTGATTTGTTTGAAAAAAACAATGTCATTTAAATATTTAAAAGTATTTATTTGTAAGGCTTAAAGGGAAACATTTTTTGTGAGTAATTGTCTTGATTTTGACCATTAAAACGGGTATTGTATTTTTTGACGTCATCAAATAGCTCCAAAAAAGAAATGTACTGTTTTCATTCCGTTCAAGGCCGCTGAAGAAACGCGGGATCTTGCGTGGGACATTGTCCGTTGTTTGCCGCGCAAAGTTGTGCCGTGGTTATGCCTTTTTCATCCGTTTCTTACTTATGTCATATGTGTGCATGAAGCTTTGATTTTGTTTTTGGTTATTGTGTGGCCGGTCAGTCAAACGCCCCTGTAGAAACCGGATGCTGCGTTTGATCGAGATGGAGTCAGACGATGATTGCAGGCCAGAAAGCTAATAATATTGAAAAGAGGGCCGGTTGCGTGGCATGTCTGTTCAGAGTTGACATTTTGCTTTACTCCAGTTTATGACCTGAGAGCCTGGCTGGAAGTGACGGATCCAAACTTTTCACGTTAAAATGGCTGAGGGTGCAATAATCTCTAGTCTCTACATAGCGGGCTGGTATAGGAGCGTCTTGCTATGCTGCACCATCACATAGCTGGCTAGTGATTCTCTTTTGGCTAGAAATGGCATTAATCATTATCTCCACTGGCGAAAATGGCACTTGACATCACCGAATGCAACGTTCATGTTGTTAGGATACATAAATTCAGGAAAATTACGCGAATTAGGTAGGCAAACGTGGAATAAAATAGGTGCTGGATGTTTTGGTTTTGGTGCTGAATCAGCAAACAGCAAATACGGAGTTCAACTAGACGATCTGGCAACTTTAGGCTGTGTGGAAGCAATTAGGTGCCAGATTCAGATATTAGGGTCAAATAAGCATTTTGGGGCTGATCAGCAATTAGGTGCCAGAAACAGCTTTTTAGGGACCAGAAACAAATATTCCCCGATGATGAAAGCTATTTTCCATTTGACTGTTTAGAGGTTCAGGCCAACAAGGGGTTCTATTATACAGAGTACAAAGAAAACGCAGATCCGAACGTTCGGTACCTTAGAAAAGAGAAGTTCCCGAAGAAGGTTATGGTCTGGGTCGCGATTTCTGCGTCTGGGGTAAGCCGCTGTTTTATGGCCTATCAAACCGCCATGAATGGGGCTACATACAGGAAAGAGTGCCTCCCAAGATTCAAGGAGTTTATAGAAAGGTACCACAGTGCCGATGACGTGATCTTTTGGCCCGACCTGGCTACGGCGCACTACGAAAAGTCCGTTCAGGAGGAGCTGAAAAGGCTTAAAATACCGGTCGTTGCACGTGCCGAAAATCCGCCTGCAGTCCCCCAGCTAAGGCCGATAGAGAAGTTCTGGGCACAGCTGAAAGCTAAAGTGTACGAAGGTGAGTGGAAAGCTGAAAATGACATTCAGCTTCGTGCCAGAATCACCCAGAAGCTAAAACACTTTACACCGGGAGAGTGCCAAAGGCTCATGGCACACGTCAAGACGAACGTGCGGCGTGTGGATGACCACGGCCATAGCGAGCTGCTCCGCCTGTAAAGAGGAAAAGTGGAGATGCTGACGGTTACGATGACGTAATTTTGACGGTTGTACGTGATTCCTGTACCGAAATACAGCAGTCCAAACTTTGTCCAGATTTTTAGTTGTTACCCTTTATTACCAGAGCCTAGACATTTGACTTTTGTTTAGTGGCAGCTTATTTCTTTGCAAAAAAGTCGCATATGTCAGATCATTGTAGTTCGTCACTTTTTACAAATGTCTTTTATGAATCAATTTTCTACAGCACGTCTACTCGATACCCTCCTCAATATTCTAAATACGACTGGATACTTGATATGCAGAAGAATAAAGCATATGCCAAACGTCATGCTGAAAGTCATTAACCCGCGAGTTGCTGGGGGGGGGGGGCGTTAAACGCCCCCACTTTTTTCGCCGGGCCATAGCATAAAAACGGCACGCCGCAGGCGCGCCAAATTTTGGGTACCTGTAGGGAATTGATTAAAGTTTATTGTGACAAAGTTTCAAAAAAAAAATCTGTCGGAAAATTTTTGAGATATCGAGGTTTTAGTGACGTCATAATTTCTGAGTTTTCGACCAAAAACGGCATATGTTCAAAGAATCATATAAAATCACGGAATAGACATACAGACATGCCGTAAACGCCATTAGACTGCCAATACCATGCACAATCAAATGGCTATCTTCGATTATTGATTATCGTTCCGCATTTTCCAAAATCTTGAACTGAATCTTGGCAATTTCTCGTGACTACTTCACGACCATAATACATGTATTTCTTAAATTGAACTTTTTTAGCCAAACACGTACACATATGATAAAATGAATGCCACCATTGTGTTCTACGCCCCAAATTACCCATAAAACATGTGTCACAGGCTGCGAATATCAGTTTTGATTTTCGGGGATATGTGCCTGCCCGGTTGACCTGACCTTGACCCTGACCTATGCTTGACTGACCCCTACATGGAGCTGACACTCTTGTAGGCCTTATATGATGGATTGTGCACCGTTTTGACAGAGTTTATGACGAGAGGCGCCCATTGCGAAGTCCTGAAGTCCATGCTACTGAAAGCCCGATTTCAGGTGTTTGACCTGACCTTGACCCGACCTGTGACCTTAAAATTCAACTTTAAAGTACTCATCTGAAGCGTCTCGTCGCGTTCTTTCGTTTGCCGCCTCGTGCGTTTCGCTGCGCGTATTGGTTCTCGAGTTATCGGCTGGGGGCGTTTAACGCCCCCCCCCCCCCCCCCAGCAAACGGTGGGTGGCGAAATACCCCAGCAACTGCCGGGTTAAATGAAATTATTGCCTAAAAATGGAGTAAAATGCTACACAACATTCTTCAATCGTTCTCCAATTTCACATTGGACTCTCGCCACCCGAGGAGCGGTGAGGTGTCTTTTACCTTCTCAGCTGCACCTGAAATGAGATAGCTAAAATAAATGTTTTCATTAGATATATAAATTCCTGGATATGATTGAAAAATGGTATGATCAACAGCTTGCTTGTTATCAAGTATAGCTAAAAAAATAATTCCAGAGCATCGATTCCCCTCTCCCAAAAACGTCCCCGAAACTAACCTGTCTCGGGAGGCCTCTGATCCTGTGACGGGCGAGTGTGCGGCAGATGAAATGCCGGACTGCCGGATTGGCTCCGGCGGTCGACGGCTCAGCTGCGCCAGAGCCGCACACCCGCCTCCGTCAACCTACCGGTGTAGTAAGTGGACAGATGGTTACTCCAGCTATTGTATCTATGATATGATCGGCATGTTCCTAGTTGTATTTATTTATTTTTCACGTAAAGGGGACTAAATAAAAAAGGTACACGGGGACGGGACACGGAACGGAACACAGGACATTGACACATAAAAATATGTGTATATCAATAAGCAGATTCCGCTGGTGAACTCACGCCCGCTGGTGGTGGGCTTGGTCCTGAGGCCGGCGGTGCTGGTGAGTTGTGGTGGTGCTGCCAATACTGGCAGGGGATCTGAAACACAATAGATAAATATTTAGCACTTGCACCATTTGTAGGTAATACAGATAACACATACACAATTCATGAGTTCCTGTGCACTGTCAATACAATAGTTAACCCGCGCACCGACGGGGGTCTGCGCCAACTTCGCACCGACGGGGGGGGGGGGCGGATGACCGCCCCCCTGAGATCTCGAGAACGAAGCAAGATAGCGACAAGCGGTAAATGGCATCGGATACGCACGGTCAAGATCTACAATTTTTACTAAGGTCATTTTCAGGTCAGGTCAAAGATGACGTCACAGGGGTCGAAAAAGTCAAAATGGCGGCGCTAGATATGGAGAGAGTTTTTCTCGAATAACTTTCGAATTAGTCAAGATAGGACCAAACTAAGGGCATCATCGTGATCCTCTTGTCAATCCGCATCGAATGATATATATGTTGACCTCGAAAGGTCAAGGTCAAAGGTTTACCTCAGGTCACGTGACCTCGAGGTTATCATGTATATCATTCGATGCGTCTTGACGAGCTGAACACAATGAGACCATCCACGCGGCTGTATCTTGTTCCTGTACGGAGTTATTGGCCAAAAACCTTTGGTGACCTTTGATGACGTCACATGACCTCACAGCTTCCCAACAGCAAAACAGACCTCAAGGTAGTGAAGGTTGATCGTATATGAAGTCATGTATGGTATATGGGGCCATTCCGACCCGTTTTAGTGGTAAAAACAGGGAGTTGATTTTTCCCCCATTGACTTATAATGGGGAGGTCGCAAAATTGACCTGACCTTAGGTCACCGATATAAAAATTCCGAGATATACAAATTGTAGCTACTAATGACTTAATAACATCCTGCGACTTTCAAAGGCCTCCGACATCTACTGTAGCTCTGGCACGGTGACAAAGTTGCAAAAAAGTGACTTGAGGTTGGGTCATTCAAAGTGACCTGGTGACCTGACCTTAAAAGGTAGGTGGTTCAAACTTGCACACCATGTGTAAAATGGATGAGAGAATAGTCGTACCAAATTTCGCGGCACTACGCGCCGCGGTTTTCCCGCTATTCGCGAAAAACCTCAGGGGGGGCGGATATCCGACCCCCCGTCGGTGCGCGGGTTAAAAAACACTCACGGAGGCTGGTGATGGTGATTCAGGAGCCGGTGGTGCTGGTGCTGGTGCTTGTGATGGCTGGTGGTGATGGTGGACCTTAAGTAAATGGTAATTCTCATCAATACTTGAGCATATTTTTATTTGTATTTGCTGAGGTTCTGTAGAAAACTAAACAATCGGGAGATAAATGACCTCATTTTTGACGTAACAGCCAAACATTAATGAGGATGTGTTTATTTCGTCGTAAGAAGCCTCAGCCTGCTAATAAAACAAACACGCAAACAAACAAACAAGCAATCAAATAAATAAATAAATAAACAAACAAACAAACAAACAAATAAACACGCAATTGATATTTTAACGTTAGTTTAAACATATGAATTGAAACAACACAAAGGTCAAAGTTTTGGAAAAGGGGAATATTTCTGGCGCCGAAACTACCTGCTGATGGTGGACTTGGAGCTGAAGCCGGTGGTGCTGGTGGTGCTGGTGGATGGTCTGAAAGCGAAGAAATACAAATTATTCGCAAATAGATGCAACTGTTCAGAAATACAATGGGTTCACCTCTGAACCAGTTTAATGGTCAGAAAAAACATGACGGAGTCCGTTACCAATATTTGCGTGAGGATAGTTCTACAGTTCTTCCATTGCATTGATTGTGAAGCAGAAATTACTGACAAAATATATCATGTGCAGCAAAGCAAAAAAAAAAATAATAAATCAGCTTTACGTTATCAGTTTCAATTAAAAAGATCAGCCACTCACGGAGGCTGGTGGAGGACTTGATCCCGGAGCCGGTGGTGCTGGTGGTGGTGCTGGTGGTGGTGCTGGTGATGGTGGTGGACCTGAAATAATACAAACGTTTTATTTATTAGGTACGCAGAGACCAATTAGCGCCACATATAATACAGATATAGTAAAACTGCAAAAAAAAAAACACAACAGATATTACTGAAATTGGTTTGACGTTACATACGTAGGCCTAGGTAGGTATATTGTACCGATTTCTTCTTATATTTTGATAAAAATATTGTAGGAAAAAAATAATGATAATTGTGGTTATTTGACGCAAAAACACGACCATTCATAACAAAATGAAAAGTCAGAACTGATCGTTTTGCAGTTGAAAAAAGCATCTAAGAAAAAACTTGTATTCTATCAACATTCCTTACAATTGCCAAATATTTTATTTCCTATAGACGAGCACAGCGGGTGACAGTGTGCCCGCCGATATCGCGTCTGTACTCACGGAGGCTGGTGGCGGGCTTGGTGCTGAGGCCAGTGGTGCTGGTGGTGCTGCTGGTAGATGACCTGAAAAAGAATCAGCACATGTTGAGTATTAATTGTAATTTTTTTGTAAAAAAATATGGCGTTAATTTTTTTTTCAACACGTTTTGCGCTCATTATCATTCCTGATTGAATATTTGTTACAACTCAAAGTATGGCCTATCGATATAGATTATAGGTATGATGATAAAAAAGCAAACTATATCAATGTGTCTTGAACATACGACCAAAATGATTGATTGATTGATTGTTGAAATTTTGGGCATGACCAAAATAAAACAACTACGCTTTTATGGTCAATTGATGATAAGACACTTACGGACGCTGGTGGCGGGCTTGGTGCTGAGGCCGGTGATGCTGGTGGCAGTGCTGGGTTAACCCGCGCCCTGCTGGGGGGGGGGGTGTTTGAACACCCCCCCTTGTGGTTTTTTGCGAATATCTCAAAAACGGCGGCGCGAAGCGCCGCCGTTTTTGGTACACCTTATCATACATCAATTCTACACATGTTGTGAAAATTTCAGACCTAGGTCATTTAAGGTCAGGTCACCAGGTCACTTGAAGTGACCTCACCTCATAAAAAGTTTCAATGTCTGTCATAGCTACACCGAATGACCGATCGCTTTGAAACTTTCAGCGATTGCTAAGAGCAATAGCATGTACAAAATGTATATCTCAGAATTTTGATATCGATGACCTAAGGTCAGGTCAATTTTGCGACCTCCCCATTATAAGTCAATGGGAGAAAATTGAAATGCGCCTCTTTTGGACGAAAGACATTATAAACACTCCCAAACACCGAATTACAAGTGGATTAGACACACTGAACATGAAAATGGTGTCCGTGACCCTTGTGTATGCCCTGAGGTCATCTTAGGTCACGAATGGTATCTAACAGTTTTTCGCAAATAACTTTTGATAGGGGCATGCTAGAGCGATGAAAACGCCTTAGATGTGTTCAGCTCGACGATACGGATCGACTGATATGCAACATGACCCTTTCCGGTCAGGTCATGACCTTGACCTGAGGTCAAATTTTCAAGTTGACCTTTCAAGGTCAAGTTATAGTTCATTCGATGCGTCTTGACGAGAGGAACACGATGCCGGTAAAAGTAAGCTCGTACAGGGCTTGGGTCAAAAGTTATTGCAGAAAAACTGTTTCCGAAAAAATCGGCTATTTTTGCAGTTTTTGCCCCCTGCAGGCAAAACCGTTGACGTTAGGTCAAATCTGAGAGAATTACTCAGAAAGGGCGTTAATAGGGCTATCGAATGCGCTTTTCCGCGGCGCTGTAGCTCTATTGGTTCCCGAGTTATGCGTTGGCTTCTTGGAAATTTTCGACATTCGACCTGGAAATCGGCGGAATTTTGCCTTCAATGGCCTCTGGTGACCTGACCTTTGACCTGACCAAAAAATTGACCGAAGTGATTTCGTCATTATTTTTGACGCTCTTTCGAACGCCGCCTTCCGCGTATCGCTACGTGGCCCAGGAGCCGAGTTACAAGGGGGGGTGTTCAAACACCCCCCCCCCAGCAGGGCGTGGAAATCCAGGACCCCCAGCCGGGCGCGGGTTAATGATTTGAAAGGGAAGAAATACAAATTAACCACAAACCGATGAAACTGTTATAAAATACGGTGGATTCACCTCTCAACCAGTCCTACGGTCAACAAAATCCTGACGGAATCCGTTTACAGCGTTTTATTACTATATAATTCCTATTGAACTGATTATGAAGAAGAAACTACCTACCGACAAAATCTCCATATGTAGCATATCGAAAAGAGCAAGTTTTAGGTTTTCAGGTTTCATTCAATAGTCACACACTCACGGAGGCTGGTGGTGGGCCTGGTCCCGGAGCCGGTGGTGCTGGTGGTAGTGCTGGTGCTGGTGCTGGTGCTGGTGATGGTGATGGCCGGTGTTGATGGCGGACCTGAAATAATATAAACAATTGAATTATTGTACATGACAGACCAAATGATCACCTTATCATACAGACAGAGCGGTAGCACTGTCTACGGCAAAATGAACAAAATTAGTCTGACACTAAAATACAAAAAGTTTCGATAACATATAACGAAACCGTGAAATCTGCAACTAAAAAACAAGTTCATGGTGCATTTCACACAGATAGCGGGCTATTGGACACAGCAAAGAAGAGTAACAATTGACAATTTCGTATATCGAATCTAAAAAAGTGTATCCATGACAATGACGGAACAAACTATTCCATTTGTTTCGTCTGTGTATCAATTATCAACGTCAAGCGTTCCTTTGCTAGAAACTAGCCACGGACGACAGTGTGCCCCAATGACATCGTGTCCGAGCTCTTAGAGGCTGGTGGTGGGCTACCCTATGTATGTACTGAGACCTGCGGCGCAGCAGTCTTCAGGTGCTGTATGGCAGAGCCATCTGTTGGCGACATAAGAAACTACTGAGTCGTGCGGCGCAGCAGTCTTCAGGTGCTGTATGGCAGAGCCATCTGTTGGCGACATAAGAAACTACTGAGTCGTGCGGTACAGCACTCTTCAGGTGCTGTATGCCAGAGCCATCTGTTGGCTAACACTGAAACTACTGAGACCTGCGGCGCAGCACTCTTCAGGTGCTGTATGCCAGAGCCATCTGTTGGCTAACACTGACACTACTGAGTCGTGCGGTACAGCATGCTTCAGGCGCTGTATGCCAGAGCCATCTGTTGGCGACATAAGAAACTACTGAGTCGTGCGGTACAGCATGCTTCAGGCGCTGTATGCCAGAGACATCTGTTGGCTAACACTGAAACTACTAAGTTGGTGCGGTACAGCATGGTTCAGGCGCTGTATGCCAGAGCCATCTGTTGGCTAAATATCAAACTACTGAGTCGTGCGGTACAGCATGCTTCAGGCGCTGTATGCCAGAGCCATCTGTTGGCTAACACTGACTGAGTCAATCGGTACAGCAATCTTCAGGCGCTGTGTGCCAGAGCCATCTGTTGGCTAACACTGAATCTACCATGAGTCGTGCGGTACAGCATGCTTCAGGCGCTGTATGCCAGAGCCATCTGTTGGCTAACACTGAAACTACTGAGTCGTACGGTACAGCACTCTTCAGGTGCTGTATGCCAGAGCCATCTGTTGCCGACATAAGAAACTACTGAGTCGTGCGGTACAGCATGTTTCAGGTGCTGTATGCCAGAGCCATCTGTTGTCGAGATGAACAACTACTGAGTCGAGCGGCACAGCATGTATCAGGCGCTATATAGGTAATAGAGTCATCTGTTGGCTAAATTTCAAACTACTGAGACGTGCGGTACAGAAGACTGTGTTCCCGCCGATATCGCGTCTGTACTCACGGAGGCTGGTGGCGGGCTTGGTGCTGAGGCCGGTGGTGCTGGTGGTGGTGATGGTAGATGACCTGAAAAAGAATCAGCACATGTTTTATTCAAATTGTGATAGGTACACTGCAAGAAAAAAAACATCGCTAATTTCTTTTCTAAACACGTCTTACGTTTTCGGGTATTTCTGACAAACTATTAGTTACAATACAAGGTAAGGCCCATCTACCTACATTTTGTGATGAGAAAAGAACTACGAATGGGTCTCGAAATTACGAATAAAATAAAATGTTAACGCCTTTAGGGCCAATATGTTACAAGACACTTACGGACGCTGGTGGCGGGCTTGGTGCTGAGGCCGGTGGCGCTGGTGGTGGTGCTGGTTGATGGTCTGAAAGGACGGAATAAAATTATAAATTGATCCCGATTGCTGCATGTATAGGTAATACATTACGGTGGTTTCTTTTCTGACCATATCTTACGATTAGAAGCTTCCTGACAGAATCCGTCATCAGTATTTGAATAAATATAATGCTACAGTACATCACTTTATCTGATTATTAAGACGAAGTTACTCACTAAATCTCCTGTTTATAATACAAAATCAGTTTTTCGTTTTCAGGTTCAAAGATCAGCCACTCACGGAGGCTGGTGGAGGATTGATCCCGGAGCCGGTGGTGCTGGTGGAGGACTTGATCCCGGAGCCGGTGGTGCTGGTGGAGGACTTGATCCCGGAGCCGGTGGTGCTGGTGGCGGTGCTGGTGATGGTGGTGGACCTGAAATAATACAAACGTTTTAATTACTAGGTACGCAGAGACCAATTAGCGCCGCATGTAATTCAGATACAATACAACTGCTAACCACACAACAGATATTACTAACATTGGTTTGACTTTACATACGTAGGACTAGGTATTTTACATCGATTGCTCTGTATATTTTGATGAGAACCATATAAGAGAAAAGAAAAATAACCATGGTGGTGGTTATTTCACGCAAAACACGACCATTCATAACAAAATGAAGAGTAAGAACTGACCTTGTGTTTATGAAAAAAATCATCTATAAGATAAAAGACCACATTCACAAGTTGTCTTTTATCTGCATACATTAGAATGGCCAAATATTGTATTTCCTATAGACGAGTAAAACGGGTGACAGTGTGCCCGCCGATATCACGTCTGTACTCACGGAGGCTGGTGGTGGGCTTGGTGCTGAGGCCGGTGGTGCTGGTGGTGGTGATGCTGGTAGATGACCTGAAAGAGAATCAACGCATGTTAAGTTCACATTGTTATTCATTGTATTAAAAATATTGCGTTCACTTTTTTCTTAACACGTTTTGCGCTCATTAGCATTCTTATGGAATATTTGTTACAATATGATGTAGGTATGTTTGATCGATATAAATTTAGTGATGATTAACAAACTATGAATGTGTCTCAAACTTACGACATAAATGAAAGACATTTGCTTTTATAGTCAATTTGTGATAAGATACTCACGGAGGCTGGTGGCGGGCTTGGAGCTGAGGCCGGTGGTGCTGGTGGTGGCGGGCTTGGTGCTGAGGCCGGTGGTGCTGGTGGTGGTGCTGGTAGATGACCTGAAAGGGAGATAGTACAAATTAACCACAAACCGATAGAACTCCTATAAAATACGGAGTATTCACCTCTCAACCAGCCCTACGGTCAACAGAATCCTGACGGAATCCGTTATTATTGTTGTATAATGATATCAATATTACTATTTGTTATTCCTATCGATCTGATTATGAAAAAATATGGACCACAAATCGTATGTAACATTGCGGAAAGAGCAAGTTTTACGTTTCAGGATGCATTTAACGATTACACACTCACAGAGGCTGATGGAGGGCTTGATCCCGGAGCCGGTGGTGCTGGTGGCGGTGATGGTGATGGTGATGGTGATGGTAATGGTTATAGCCGGTGGTGGTGGTGGACCTGAAACAATATAAACGATTGAATCATTATATATGACAGACGAAACGATCACCTTATCATACAGACAGAGCGGTAGCAATGTCTACGGCAAAATAAACAAAAATGTTCGGACAAGTACATTCAATACAAAAAGTATCGACAACATATAGCAAGAACGTGAAATATATAACTGAAAAAAGAATACGTTCATGGTGTTTTTCATGCCAAGTATAGGACTATTTATTGGTAAGATCAAAGAAGAGTCGGAACTGACAGTTTGGTAGACCGAATAAATATAAATGTACCTAACGAAGACAATGAAAAAAAATCAAATATTTCAGTGCCTTTATTCTTATTTTCATTTTTAGCTTGTTTATAGTTTCTGCATTATTGAACACCGTCAAATGTTTGCGTTTCCTAGAGACAAGCAACAGGCGACAGTCTGCCCGTATATCACGTCTGTACTCACGGAGACTGGTGGCGGGCTTGGTTCCGGAGCCGGTGGTGCTGGTGGTGGTGCTGGTGATGGTGGCGGTGATGGTGATGGTAGATGATCTGGAAAACAGTCAGTAGGTTTTGAGATCAGCGTATTATGCACTGTAAGAACAAGCAGTAAGACAAACAGAGGAATTTGGTCAAAATTAGGACGATTGGAGAAAGGTTTTGAGTTTAACATGATCATTGTCATTTTATGATTAAACACTTACGGACATGCTGGTGACAGGTTTGGTCCCGGAGCCGGTGGTGATGATGGTGATGGTGATGGTGATGGTGATGGTGATGGTCATGCTGGGGACGGTGGTGATGGCGGATCTGAAATAGAAGCCGCTAGTTTTAATGATTAAAGTTATAATGTCGACATTGATATTTAGATATTAGATACAGCGCTAAAGAAGGGAAATTACCATGACAATTATTTTGAGTTAGGAAGCAAATGGTAAAAACATGAAAATCGCACCATGCATTATTTATACCCCCGCGCGGGGCTGGGGTCTCCAGCCGAACGCGCGGGGCTGGGGGGGGGGGGGGTAAATTTTACCCCCTCCCTGTTATCTCCCGATTTAATGGTCCGATTTGGAAATTCAAACGCCAATCGAAAGATCTCATCACGGACAACTAAAAACATGTACTTAATTTAAAGTTTGAGGTCAAGGTCAAGGCCAGGTCAAGGGTACATATTGCAAGTCTCTAAAATGCCCAAAAGTTACTCAGAAATGCCGAAATATGTTCATAATAATTATTTTACGCAACATCTGTTGCAAAACTCTCACATACCCTAGCCTAACATACTATGGTCACAATAACAGCTGTTTTTAATTAGTAATCAAATGGAGGACATGGTTCTTTTTGCAACGATATCCACATATTTTGTGTCAAAAGCAGAAACATGATCTGCAAAAGATGTCTAACAAAGATAAGGCGGCATTCATTTTGCATTGCCCGCTGCCCAGATCTGTGCTTCCCAGAATCGCGGAATATGCCGCTCATTGCTTACCATCTTCAAGCTGCTTTTGTAGCTCCTCCAGCTCCTTCTGCAGCTCCACCTGCAGCTCGTGACATCTGCTGCTGCACTCCTCCAGCGGCCGATCCAACTCCTCCTCTGACCGAACGGTCCGGAATCTCTGCTCCAGTTCTTGTGACTCCTGTTGGTGTCTGCGCTCCATTTTGTTCCGCTGTGTTCGGAGTTTCCGCCCCAGGCCCGCCCACTGTGCGGCATGCTGCTGCTCCAGAACTGCTCGCTGTCTCCGCTGTCTCCGAGCCTGCGCTTTCCGCTGTCCTTTGGTCACCGATCTCTGCGGCTGCGGCTGTCCCTCGGTCGGCACGTTCACACCTCGAGAGTCCTCCTCGTGCTGCCGAAGGAGCTGTTCACGCTCCTCCTTTTGACGCGCCAGCAGGCTCTGCCGCTGATGGTCGTGTTCCTGCTCCTGAAGCTGTTTCTCTAACTTCTGTCTCAGCTGATGACGTCTCCTGCTGCACTCCTCCGTCAGCCGATCCAACTCCCCCGACCGGACGCTCGGGAGCCTCTCCTCCAGCTCTCGTGACTCTCTTTGATGTCTGAGCTCTAGCTCTTGCCACTGGTGCTGCAAGGTCTGTAGGAGACTTTCCCATTGCTTCTGGTGGGAGAGGTCCAGCTGCCTTATTTGGTCCTCAGTCGGCATGTTGATGCATCTGGTGTGCCCCCTGTGCTGCTGATGAAGCTCAATGCGCTCATCATAGTGACGTTCGGCCAGGTTCTGCCACTCCGTACCGTGTTTCTGCTCCAGATGCCGACGCTCCTCTTCATGCTCTTTGTCCATCCTCACTCTTTCTTCGTGACCTGGATCCTCCAGCTCCTGCCATAGCTGCTGATGTTGTAGTTCCAGCTCCTTCCACCGCTGCTGATGTTGCTGTTCAATCTGCCGCCACCTCTGCCCGTGTGGGTGAGGAGCATCCTCTGATGGCTGCTCCTCCTCATCGCAGTGCTGCTCCTCGTCTTCGACCCCTCCGTCGCGGTCACTCTGCGGCGAGTCTGGAACACAGCAGGCCAGGCAGAAGTCACACGCTGGGAGGAAGGTCGATAGGCGACCGAAACGTAAGAAAACTAGATCACTATTCACAATGCAAGCTAAGAGACATTTTGTAATGTCACGTCATTTTCATCATGGCGAAGTAGTACCAAAATCTAGTTACGTCGTTCAGCATGTCTTCTATGCAAGAACGATTTGTTGATTGTTCAAATAATGAGTACAGCATCGTGCCTCACAATGATAACGTAACAAATAAGACACTGTTAACACTCGCGGTATTGTATATGACTGAAATTATTCAGTATGGGCGTCATTACTATCGCCCTCTAGCCCATGCTGTTGGATATAAACACAGGACGGCAGTTGGTGCACAGGGTACTTAGAGTGGAAGGGGTCAGTTTTTTTTTACCCTCGCCAGCACATGCCATTTTTCCATCCTAGAACGCATTACGCATATGGGTTGCCACCCCCACCCCGCACCATTTCATTCCTGCTGGAGGTAAAGCTTCGCGGTTAGGACCAATATATTCTTTGGGAAAGTACAAGTCCAATGGTTTCCAGTTCTACCTCATTGTGTCAGTCTTTGACATTCCAGGTCAGGTCAAACTAAAAAATGTTGCTGTTTGAGGTCACCGTTGGATAATCAAGTGCGGTGCCCATCATACACCGATGACGCTGCAGTATTGGTGCCAAGCCAGCTAGAACAGCTCGTTGTCACACTATCCGACTAGGTTTTTGCTGGCTGTGGTCATTTCAGTTCAAGTTAGGTCAAGGTAAATGATGTGTTTGTATGTCTGTGTGTGTCTGTGTATATGTGTGCACCAATTGGTTTGTGTGTCCCTATTACATGAGATCATGAACTGAGAAGCTTTTATCAAAAATGCAGACAAGGAAACTTCATTAACCCGCGCCCGGCTGGGGGTCCTGGATTTCCACGCCCTGCTGGAGGGGGGGGGTGTTTGAACACCCCCCCTTGTAACTCGGCTCCTAGGCCACGTAGCGATACGCGGAAGGCGGCGTTCGAAAGAGCGCCAAAAATAATTACGAAATCACTTCGGTTAATTTTTTGGTCAGGTCAAAGGTCAGGTCACCAGAGGTCATTGAAGGCAAAATTTTGCCGATTTCCAGTCAAATGTCGAAAATTTCCAAGAAGCCAACGCATAACTCGGGAACCAATAAAGCTACAGCGCCGCGGAAAAGCGCATTCGATAGCCCAATTAACGCCCTTTCTGATTAATTCTCTCAGATTTGATCTAACGTCAACGGTTTTGCCTGCAGGGGGCAAAAACTGCAAAAATAGCCGATTTTTTCGAAAACAGTTTTTTTTTTGCAATAACCTTTGACCCAAGCCTTGTACGAGCTTACTTTTACCGGCATCGTGTTCCTCTCGTCAAGACGCATCGAATGAACTATAACTTGACCTTGAAAGGTCAACTTGAATATTTGACCTCAGGTCAAGGTCATGACCTGACCGGAAAGGGTCATGTTGCATATCAGTCGATCCGTATCGTCGAGCTGAACACATTTAAGGCGTTTTCATCGCTCTAGCATGCCTCTATCAAAAGTTATTTGCGAAAAACTGTTAGATACCGTTCGTGACCTAAGATGACCTCAGGGCATAAACAAGGGTCACGGACACCATTTTCATGTTCTGTGTGTCTAAAACACTTGTAATTCGGTGTTTGGGAGTGTTTATAATGTCTTCCGTCCAAAAAAGGCGCATTTCAATTTTCTCCCATTGACTTATAATGGGGAGGTCACAAAATTGACCTGACCTTAGGTCATCGATGTCAAAATTCTGAGATATACATTTTGTACATGCTATTGCTCTAAGCAATCGCTGAAAGTTTCAAAGCGATCGGTCACTCGGTGTAGCTATGACAGACATTGAAACTTTTTATGAGGTGAGGTCACTTCAAGTGACCTGGTGACCTGACCTTGAATGACCTTGGTCTGAAATTTTTACAACATGTGTAGAATTGATGTATGATAAGGTGTACCAAAAACGGCGGCGCTCCGCGCCGCCGTTTTTGAGATATTCGCGAAAAACCACAAGGGGGGGGGGTGTTCAAACCCCCCCAGCAGGGCGCGGGTTAAAGGTAAATTCAGCTTGCCTAAAACGAATTGCTTTTAGATGGCCTAAGGTTGACCTTGACCCTCACCCTGACATCTGTACCTACATAGTCAAACAACATGTTCCGCATGATAGGTTGGAGGTAAGACCGGTAAAAGCCGAAATCAAGGTGTCTAAAGCTCACAAGATCCATAGCCAACGCATGATATTGGGTATTGGTCATTTGGGTCATGACATGACATGAAAAACGAGGTCATATCTCCGAAACCAAAAAAACAGAAACTGATCACAAAAGTAGTTACTAGGAAGGCTTTCTATGGGTAATCCATTTTTATTTAGTTCCTCGTTATATGTGCAAGAAGTGTAAGTCTGAATGGGGAGAGGGGGGGGGGGGCATACTCCTACTGAATGCCATCCCAGGCTCCTGTCGGGGAGGGGGGTGGCATATGACCCTATATGCCCCCCCCCTTGGATCTGCAAGTGATATTTCATATACAAATGGTGTAAAATTAACCCCACTCCACATCAACATATAACAAAAAACAGGTAAGTTTGTGGGTGGATAGTGAATCACCGAAAAGGGAAGTCCCCCCCCCGGGCCAATGCGACATGCGAACTGTGAACTCTGCATCCTTCACAATCTTAGATCCCGGTATGGCGGGAAACTCGGCCAATTGGAATGCCCAGATTGGTTGTCATGACAACGGTTGCCTGGCAACGGCTTGTATCGGGGAGCGGAGGGAGGGAGCGGATGGAAATGCCGGCGAAAACGGATTCTTGTGTGTTCATTTGGCATCAGCTCTAAATAGGTATAAGAAGATGTGAAGGTGATTGAGAGCGAAGATCAGAAAGACGGCCTTCAGGAATTTGGGACACAACTCGGTCACGATACGACATACGTAAACAGTAAAGTAGATACTCGAAAATATTATATAGCTTCATTCATCCCTAGTAATAATATTAAATTAGGTATAGGTGTAAGTTTCATGGAATAGGTATGAGTGACACAATTGTTCTTATCTTAATGTTTTATTGCATTTTGTGATATTTTTTATTTTTCGCCTTAGATTCTGTTGCCATAGTGACCGCTCGTCCAAGTAGGAAGGTACTTTTTGTTACAAAAAAGCAAGACTTCTATTTCGTCATGACAGAGGGTAAGCTATCTACATAGGCGTGGGGGTATCGGTAACCAGAGCTGGGCGCGTTCCTCGATTTTCGGTAGTGCGTTAGCGTTCCTGCGTTCCTCCGGCCGCGGTTAGTGCGTTCCTGGAATAGCGTTCCTCAAATTTTTTCGCTCGGTGCGTTAGCGTTCCTGCGTTCCTGCGTTCCTCCCTCAAAAATACCGCCGAACCACGCGGCGCGGGCCCAACCAAACACGGGGCGAATCGATCACAGAATGCCCAGAATGGCGACGTGGGGCAGAAAAGCAACTCGACATCTCTTTTCCGAATCGAATATCTGAAATACGTTTTACCAATATCATCCGTAGGGTTTTCAACAAAAATACGACCTGCTTAAAATTAATAGTTAAGTTAAAAGATGTATCTTAGTAAAAGTTATCATATTTACTTTACACATTTAATGCCTGAAACTGAATCGAATAGTAAACATCACCACTAAAAATATTTACACATTTAATGCCTGAAACCGAATCGAATAGTAAACATCACCACTAAATCTAAGCAAGCCTTCCTCGATTCGACCGACAAGTGGCGCCTCTACCGGCAAACACACGTACTCGAGATTCAAACATTTGACACAGAGTTCATTGGCAGCAATATAATTTTTCGGGTGGTTCCGCAAGAACGCAGGAACGCTTCAAAATTTCGGGTGGTGCGTTCCTCTTACTTGCGTTCCTTTGAAAAACTTTGCGTTCCTGCGTTCTTGCGTTCCTAAAAAGGGCGGTGCGTACGTACGGAAGAACGCAGGAACGCACTAAAGGAACGCACTTGCCCAGCTCTGTCGGTAACCCTGGCGTCACCGGTAGTGTTTTCGTTCAAGGCTAAGGTTTCCTGTATTAGGCTGCCGTGCCAAGCCGAAGCATGCTGTGACGTCACTGGGTAAGAGAAGATAACGTACCACGCTATCGACTATCGACTGAGACTCAGATAGACTCAGACCGACTCAAACTACTCAGACCGAATCAACCGACTCAAATCGATTCCGATCGACTCAGACAGACTTAGAACGACTCAAACCGACTCAGGTAGACTCAAACTGACTCGACCGACTCAAATCGATTCAGATCGACTCAGACCGACTCAGATAGACTCAGACAAGGGCGCACACAAGGGGGGGGCACACGGGCCCGTGCCCCCCCCATTCGAGTTGGGGGGGGCCCAACTCGAAGGAAGGGGCCCATTTGAGGCGGCCGAAGGCCGCCTCAAATGGGCCTCTAACTAATCCTTAGACCACCGAAGACCGTGTACAAAGGGCCCTCAAATGGCCTTAAAGGGCCCTCAAATGGCCTTAAAGGGCCCTCAGATGGTCTCAAAAGGCCCTCAGATGGCCTCGAAGGGCCCTCAGATAGCGTCATAGGACCCTCATCTGGTGTCAAAGGGCCCTCAGATGGCCTTAAGGAACCCTCAGATGACCTCAAAGGACTCTCAGATGGCCTTAAAGGGCCCTCAGATAGCCTCAAAGGGCCCTCAGCTAACGTCAAACGGACGTCAGAAGGCCTTAAAGGGTGTCAAAGGTCCCTGAGCTGGCGTCAGAGGGCCATGCCCTTGCGTCGAACGGCTCTCCGAAGACTCTAAAGAGTCCTTTGCTGGTGACAGAGGGCCCCCAGCTGGTGCCAGATGGCCCCCAGCTGGCGCCAAATGGCCATCAGAAGATCTCAAACGGTCCTCAGCTGGCGTCAAGCGGCCCTCAAAAAGCCTCAAGGGGCCCTTAGAAAACCCCAAGGGGCCCTTAGAAGACCTCAAGGGC